GCTCCAAGGATGCCATCATGCCAATCATTCCTGAAACGGAATGGCCCACGAAGATGCAGCTTGCTATTTTTAGCTCGTCCAGAATATTCAGCAGATCGTCAGCGAATCCATGCAGAGATGCGTACGTGGAAAAGGAAAAATGGCTGAAGTCGGTTCTTCCCGCTCCAGCCAAATCATACAGCACCACGCGGTAATCTTGTCGCACTAGATGGGGAGCCACGTGTCGCCACGCCGTTTGATCAGAGCCGAATCCGTGGGCCAAAACGACAGTCTCACGTCCCGATCCCAGCACCTTCACGTTGAACATCTCGGTCAAAGTCAACTCTGCAGCTGAAAACGCGCCTGATGCCATGGTTTCTCAAATTAGATAATAGATAATGGCTATAGGCTATATCCGGATGGATGGGAAGAATAGCCGGAGATAGCAGTGGAAGGAAGAATGTGGTAGTAGAGCTTGTTTCTTCCCTGACTTATAGCCCATAGCCGGTGAATAGCCGGATCATAAGCGTGGAATGGCCGGAGAATAGCCACAGAATGCCCGAATAGCCGCCGAAGTCTTGTTTCAACCCTGATCTTCAGCTCATAGCTGGAGAATAGCTGGAGAATAGCCGGAGAATAGCAGGAGAATAGCAGGAGAGTAGCCGGAGAATAGCAGGAGAGTAGCCGGAGAATAGCCGGATAGCGGTGGAAGACGATCCTACTCGATCTTCTTAGCCGGAGCAGGAGAGTAGCCGGAGAATAGCAGGAGAGCAGCCGGAGAATAGCCGGATAGCGGTGGAAGACGATCCTACTCGATCTTCTTAGCCGGAGAATAGCAGGAGAGTAGCCGGAGAATAGCCGGATAGCGGTGGAAGACGATCCTACTCGATCTTCTTNGACGATCCTACTCGATCTTCTTAGCCGGAGAATAGCAGGAGAGTAGCCGGAGAATAGCCGGATAGCGGTGGAAGACGATCCTACTCGATCTTCTTTCTTCCCTTATCTTCAGACGTGGAAGATCTCCCGAGTCCCGACAGGGAATGGCCAGATAGCCGTTGTAGACGATTCTACTCTCTCCTTACTTCCCGGATCTTGAGCCAATAGACGATTCTACTCTCTCCTTACTTCCCGGATCTTGAGCCAATAGCCGGATAGCCACGACAAAACAACATCGGCGGACGGATTGACATAGCCACGACACAGGACTCAGACAATGCCTACCTTCCTCCCCTGATTCCTTAATAGAACTCACGAGCCAACTGTCTGTCTTCATCGTACTTCATAGTACATACATGATACAGCAATTATAGTGACAGTGCGTGCGTTCTATTCTGCCATAAAATTCTGGGCAAGAAGAAACTGCGTAGCAGGTCGGCACTTAGTCTGCTCGATGGCCAAGCACTACTGATAGATGCTTAGATCCTTCGAGTGATGCAGTACTCGAGAGTCGAGACCGATGCGCTCGACGCTCGACGCTCGGGACTAAATATTCCGCCGCCAGACACAACACACCCTGATCATGAATGTATACAAACCATCTTTCCGATCCGATACTGATCATCCAGCCATCTTTCAGGTCCGATACCGATGATCATGAATGTATACAAGCCATCTTTCCGATCCGATACCGATCATACCGATCATCTCCCGCAGACAAGGAACCTCCGTCGCTGCTAGCCTGCTGCTGATGTCGATGACGTCAACGGAAAATGCGGGATGGCAGAACAATTGCACCCTCGTCATCACCATCATGAATGTATCTGACAGGAGAGGTAGCTATGTACATTTTGTCATCAGGCGACCTTGTCCTCGGGCGAAGTCGGATAGTTCACTCCTCCTCCCCTCCTTGTTCTTCTTCGTCTACTTCTTTTTTTTTTCTTTTTTTTTTTTGGGAATCTTCTTCTACTTCGTCCTTCTTCTTTTTTTTTTTTGGAAGTTCAAACAGAATTTTCTTTTATATTTCGACCGGGCCCAGTCCCCATGGCAAATCCAAGAACACAGTTCCGGCGGCCAAGTCCCACTATAGCAGGGTTGAGTTCCCTCAACGCATGAATCTGGACGTGGTTGTGGAGATGTGCGGTTGAGGAAACTCAGCGCCATTTCTGCACATCTCCACAAGAACGACCAGATTCGGGCGTTGAGGAAACTCCACCTGCGAGTGGGACTTGGCCCCGGGACAGCCAGTCGGTTTTCTTCTTCTTCATCTTCTTCTTCTTCTTCTTCTTCTTCTTTCCCCTCCCCCTTCTTCTACTTTTTTTTTCCCTTTTTTTTTTTCCTCTTTTAAAAATTCCTTCTTCTTCTCTTTTCTTCTTCTTTTTCTGCTTCGACTTCTTCTTTCTTCTGGCTCGTTTTCTTTTTGCTTCTATCGCTTTATGTGGAATGAAAGGTAAAACCTTTATGAAAAAAAAAGAGGAAAAAAAAAAGAAGGGAAAGGTTCGAATCGACCTCGAGGGCGACGAGGGGTGAAAAGGTTTGGTTGGACTTCTGAGGGCCTCTCTCCACCACTCGCCAGATGTGGAAAAATGCGAATGAACCTTTCCCTAGATGATGGAAAGATACACCGCCGCCGTCGTATGAACCATGCCGGTGTGCCTGGATCATACGACACTGGCTGCCCTTTCAACTTTCAAAAAAAAAAAAAAAAAAAAAAAGACGCCATATTTTTTGTCCTTTGTGCATGTGTTGAGTCGTGCAGCGAGGCCCTGAAGACTTTCTCTGGGTTTTTTTTTTTTTGTTT